TGTTACCCTGCACACTGACCAGAAGTGCTGCTCGCCTCCCTGTTTTTGCAAATAAATCGCTAAATATGGAGATTCGGGACATGAGCAACTTGAGAACGTTTACCCCCGCTTCTTTTTCTCATCCCCCCCCTCTACGAGAAAACATCTAGGTCCTCAAAACCATTTCCCACTGGTAACTTAGAGGTTTTAACAAAAAAATTATGCAGACTCCGGCTTCAGTGCTGTTGTGTGGCGTAGCGAAACTTGCTTGCTCTTATTCAGAGAATAAAAACTGTGTGGTGGGGGAAAAAACCCCACACTTGCAGGACAGCGGGGTGGAGAAACAGAGAACGAAGACAGAAGCATCCTTAAGATGCCTTTTCCTAAGCACAAGTCGTCATTTGTAGAGAGCTCTGGACTTCTGAACGCTCGAGGACAGACACGAAACATCAGGGCAGCCTTGGCTGTCCTCACCGCTTGCTTTTTTTTTCCGTAGCCCCCCGTCTCGTGTGCGATGCCAAGGTACCCGTGCTGTACCCCTGCCTCAGCCTTTGGAGATGCTCTGCTATCACAAAGTCAAGGCGAGAACGTTTTAGCCCTGCTTGCTCCAGCCTCCTCCGAGACGGCACGGGCTCCTGCGGTGGGAAGGCAGTTCGGGGACTGTGGTGCGCCGCTGCAACAGAGGCAGGACATGGGAGGAAGCACATATTGCTGAAAAGGCCGTACACCCGATACAGCCTGCTGTAGCTCTGAGATTAACTTGAATATATAAAGTGCAAAACATTCACGCTTTGGAGAGGAAAAAAAGGCAGAGCTAAGGCAGAGGGGGGATTAGGGAGGTGGTGAAACGCGATGGAAGGGAGGGGGAGAAGGCAGGGAGGAGGTGCAGCAAGATCCTTATAAACATTGGCACTTGTGTGTGGGGAGCACCTACGACGCCGGTCGGTGACGGGGGAGAAGTCCCAGGAAGCAGCTATTTTTCAGGGAGCGGACAGCCCAGCGTGAGCCTTCGTGTGAGATTTCAGCTCTGCGCCTCCCCCTTACCAATGCCCGCTTGACATAAGCCTTCACCGCTCAGCATCCCTGCCGGCCAGCGGGGCTGCCCCTTCTCCCGGCCCTCCCGCCCGCGCCACGCCACTCTTCTGACGCTGGACTGCTTTCTGGCTGTCCGCAACTCCTCCCTGCCTGCTTTCAGATAAAAGGGAGGGCTTCTCCACGAGAGATATCCACCCAGAAAGGGAACACTGCTCTCAGGCCACAGGATCTTTCGATTATCCAGGCAGAGAGATGTTTCTGGTACTATTCTATAAGGAGAGAGAAACACCTTCCCTCAGACCCTCATGTTGTACGCCAGAAACAAAGTCCCCGCACCTGAGACACACAGAGGGAGGAAGAACGTGAAGACGCAGGTAGAGAAGTGCGAAACCCCAGATTACTTCCTACTAGGGGCGAAGGCAGGTAGGAACTGAAGGCTCGTAGCTGGTATCTTCCCAGGTGACAAATCCTCCTTCTCCTATGATGGTCTACAGGCTCGATATGACCAAACGTTGTCAGTGACAGCAACGCCAAATCTCCTCTTCACCTGATACCTCTTACTCCGACAGCCTACTTTCTCCAACCTCAGACTCTGAGCATGACCCAATATTGTCCTTATCCGGCCATATTTTGTCTTGGAACATTTGGCCTGCTCTTCCCCCAGTGTCATCTCTTAATATCTCTACCTCCCGTGTCACGTGAGCTGCCCGTGCAGCACTCCTGCCAAAGACCAAAAGCAACCTGCACACACGGGGATGGGAAGGCTCTGCTGTCTGCGTTTAAACATAACCCTAGTTCAGATTAGCAGGCAAACGGAAGAGAAAGCTGCCCACGACGGGCTGCGCTGAACTGAGAATTGGATTTCAGAGCCTTTTTTGGTAGGAAACTGCTATCATCCTATTGCAAAAGGCACGATTTTTCGAAGTCATGGTATACATTGAAGCAAGTAAGGAGAAAAGAACACAAAGGTTTGAAAAGAATCCAGTAACTTTGGGAGATGTACAGGAGAGAGAAGATGCCTTACGTGTCAAGACAGCTCAAGTCCCACGCCAACCGACCCTCTGCCCGCACGGGCGCCTTCTCTAGTCAAAATCCTGGCAGAACGAGAGGGAGCAACATCCTTTCTATAGCCTTCCACAGCATCTCCAAATCAAAAGCTGCGCTGTACTCCGGTGTGGCCAGGAGCATCGCTCACCAGCCTCAGGCTAACACTATCCACGGTTGTTAAACCGCGTAAATCAGAGGCCTTTGGACGGTCACTCAACAGTTAGCAGCAAGAAGCATTCAACTCCCGAGAGAGGTGGCCTACAATGCCTAAGGGTGGGCCCAAGCCGCCAGAGACCTGACGCTGGCATGTGTATGTGATACGATTCAAGCGGTGTTTGGCACTAATACTGGCTTGAAGGGGGGTCTACGACGATTACTGAATTGCTAGCTTTGACAGAGAGTGTTTGACGGCTGCCTGACCCAGCAGGATGTCATGCATAGAGGTGGCCAGGCGGTCAGACATCCTTCTCTGCACACGAGCTTCGGTCCCAATGGCATTTTCCTGTTGCATTGAGAAAGATGACAGAAAGTCAGTGGTGGGGGGGACAGCCAGTGGAAAGCAATTCCTGTGGACACAGGAAAGAGGGAGTGTAATACTGAGTAGAAAATTCAGCTGTGGTTTATACATACAGTCCGCCCCAGGGCACACTGGTGCCAGCCAGCCCGGTGACAGGTTGGGTGGTGGGCGAGAAGATCTCCTGCAGTACCGATGGTGCACAAACCACCACTGGCCCTTCTCCCGTATTGCAAGTTCAGTTTTGAGCTGGGTAACTGAGGCAGCATCGAGACTATGCATGCACACAGCGAAGGAATCGACACTGCTCACGATCAGGCAGTGACGTCGGCTTGAGTCCTTTACGGCCTCCGACTCCGGCACTGTCGCTTGGTGTAGCATCTCCCATACGGTCAGATACCGGCACAACTTGGAGCTGGCTCTTCAGACGGAGACCCTTCATTTGGGGGTACAACATACGGGGCAGGTTTTTTTTTGTAGCCCCTTCCCCTAGCTGCCCTGCCGAGCAGGCTCAGCGGACAGTACCTCGGTGGTAGACCCGTACTGAGTTTAAGCATCACCGATGTCATCAACCAATTTAACATCATCCATCAGCCAGGGTACACCACTTCAGAGAAAAGAGATGTGGAAGAGTGTGGGCAGAAGAGCAGCAGTTGCAGGATGAAGCCATGGGCGAGGAGGTTGGTTTCCAGCTCTCAAATGTCCATGGACCACTTAAAGCATTGGCGGGATGAGTGCTTGAGAAGAGGCCACTTGGTCACAACGACAGGAACCTAAGGAGGCCTCTGCCTCGTGTGAAGGGCTCTGCTCCTCCCCACAGGGTGGATGACAGCCCACCACCCTATAGTTCCCTGGAGCCAGAGCTGGGATAAGCTTGGGCTGGGAAGGAGCAGATAATCTTTCCTGCTAAACTCTGCGAACAGAAGCCACTGGAGCCCTCTTGTAAGAGGAGGGGGGAGTGCAGGGATGTTTGCAGCCTGTTTATTGGAGAAGTGCTCTAGGCAAGTGATGCTGGTCTCTGGGGAGGGGTTACTTGGTCTTGCTTTCCCCCAGCGGGATCTGGAGGAGTGTGGGAGACTGTTCCATGATGCGCACCAGCAGCTGGTCAATGTAGTTCTCCAGTTCATGGATGTGCTCCTCCTTCTTGCTCAGCTCCTTCTCTCTCTGCAGCAGGAGCTGGATGAGTTCATCGTGGGTCAAGTGATAATACTTAGCTGACTGGTCCAGTACGGCGGGATCCTGTGGTAGAAGCCAAGAGGAACATTCAGTGAGTGAAATGAAAACCGCTGCTCCCTTTAGTGTTTGCAAGATGCAGCAACAACCAAAGCAATCAATGTTTGCTATGTCTGCCTTCTTTCCAAATCTGACCTGATGGGCTGGAGGCATTGTGCGGCTATCACGTCCTGTCTTTACAAAGCAGCTTTCCCACGTGCCATGCATTCGCCGAAAAATACTGGAGACAGAACAACTGCCCAGACATCCAGGCCAATGCAGCCCTCTCCATATGGCTCGAGGTGACCGCTAAGCACTTCCACCAGCTGAGTGAATCATTTAACAGGGTTTCCCCAAAGACTGTCAAACCTCTCTCCCCCAGCAGTTAGAAGCTAAGGGCGTAGGCACAATGGAGCCCATTAGCCTGGCATAATGAGGCCTGGCATTAACTACTCCCCCTCTCTGGGGCTTCCCAGTCCTCCAGCAACAGGCCTGGATGATGACAGGAGAAGAGAATTAAGAGCCGAAAGACCCCTCAGGAGCTCCCAGAGGACGAGGTGAACCCCAGCAGCAGCATTTTACATGTCAAGTTGGGGAGGCAAACAGAGCAGCAGGGAAGGAGAAGGCAACCCCGTGAGACTGTGCCCTCAGACACATCACACAGGTATTCTGCTTGCCTCAACATGCCAGCATTTAAAATACAGCCAGGCAAGCAACATTCGAGCAAGGCTCCAGGAAGCACCTTCCCTCTGTCTCTGTCAGCAGAAAAAAACCCTTCAGGCCTTCAATCAGGCAGCAATCACATCCTCCATCTTTCATGTCTTGCAGATAACCAGGCATTCGCTCACACACTGTACAACAAAAATCCCAAACTGAAGCAAGCAGTGGGAGAAGAACGATGGGGTGAGAAGGTCCAGAGGCCAGGTCATGGAGGAAGGGAGGCCAGTGGGAGGCTGGGCAACCAGGAGCAAGGATATCGGGGTTAATACACATGGTTCCGCTCACACTGTGGCAGGACCCTGTTCTACCTCCTCCAACACCAGTTTTCTACACCTCTGTCACCAAATATAGAACACCTCAAGCAGGTGGGAACACAGCTCTCACCTCAGTGGTAGGTTCCTACCTTTAACTTCTTTGAGTCTGTTTTCTCCAGGTGTGAGGATGGGGCCACAGGCTGGACGCTGCTCGTGGTGACTGTCTTCAGCTTCTCTAGGCCATTGCTCAGAGCGGTCGTCAGGCTGGACCTGTGCTGCTGCTTCTTCTCGCTGGAGACCTCTTGCACCGCAGCGCTGATGGGTTTCACTGGGTGAGGACTAAGGAGAACAAGGAGGTTGGACAGTTAACACCCTGCCGAGCTGGGGAGTGACGCGGCTGGCTCTCCCTATGGTTTTTATGGGGATGGGACCCACTTATCAAATTTAGTCAGCTCCACACAGCTAAATCCTCTGTGCCTGTGTTGCTCAAAGCTCACCTGCTTCAAGAAGAGAGAGGAGAGCCAGCGTCCTGCAGAGCAGGCAGCCCACAGCGCTTTCCGGCACTGTTGCCACCCAGAGACGAGATAAGGAGCCCCAGGACACATGTTCGGCCGAGATACAGAACAGGTCCCCAGTGCCCACACCTATGCTTCTCAGTCCACACTGAGAGGGCTGTGGGTCGAAGCTCCCGGCTGCCAGGTGTTGGCACAGCTGGGGGAAATTTAACCCAGGTCCAATGTAATTGGGGTCGCTACATCCACTGCCCAGAAGGGCATATTGCTGCCCAGGAGCCCCCAGATTAGTGCCTGGGGTTATCACTGATGCTTCAGGGATGCTCCTGGCCCACTGTGCATCAGTTCCTGCACTGCCTCAGCCCAAGAGCTGGGCTCCGCCTGCCTGGAAGACACCACAGAGTTTGTGCCCCTCCACTAGCCAAAAGGGAAGGCGAGGAGATGGTATCTGAATGCACCTTCTCCGTCACTTAAGGAGGAATTACATTTTCATTTATTTTTGCCTCACTCTTCACCCAAAAGATTGTTTCTGGGCTTAAACAAAGTGAGTTTGCTTTTCAGCGTGATGGAAAGAGAAGTGACCTGATGCTACCTTCCTGCAAGGAACGGGCAGACCCGTGCACCACACTCGGGATGCAAAGATCGTAAAATCTATCCCGGAGCTCTGCAAAGCCTCTGCACTCATCAGATGCAGCAGCCACCCTGCAAAGGGTGATAATCCCAACTGCTGTGCGTCCAAACGATGCTGCAGGGGAAGGGGGACACCTTGCTCGCAGGAGCTCTCAAGCAAGGCAGGCAAGCGCAGTCTCTCTTTACAAACGGGGACCTCAGGGTGTTAGTAGGACGGGTTGTGAGAGGAGGAATAACACCCACAGTCACTGTGTGAGCTGTTAGCCGGGCTGGGACAGACCCCTCTCAAGTCCAGCTCGTGCTGTAACCACTTGACTGTGCTTTATTTCCGTTTCGAAAGCAGAGCAGGTGGCTTTCAACCCTGCTCCAGGTCAGAGATGATGGCTGAGGCTGGGACAAAGGTAGCATGACATAAGGCATCAGGTGGATGGCCCAAGTCCTCAAGGCTGGTGTCCTCATGCCTTGTCAGTGGTGACGGGATCAGGATGTACCAAGCAATCTCCCCATTGTGCTGACAGGGCACGTCTAGAAGTCCTCTTCAACCACGATGATGCCTCCTGTCATCCATTTGCTAGGAGAGGACAGCAAAGGTAGCCACTGACCAGCGCCAACAAGCCAAAGAATCAACAACCCTTGTCAGAGCTGTCCAAGCACGTGGACAGAGGCAAGGGTTCCCGGACAGCTTGAAAGGATGGAGAGGGATCCCACAAATCTGAGTGGGAGTGCACTGACAGCGCCAGGGCTTGGAGAAGTTGCCGTTCTGCACGTCAGCCTCAAGCACTCTCCACCCTGGACTAAACCCCTCACCAGCAGAGCTGCAAACACCACGATACTGCGTTACAAGCGATCCAGCAGTTGTCCGTTTGGTATGACGTAAGATGGGGTGCGGGTGGACCGGACCAGAGGCCATGCACAGATCCTGAAGAATTGCTCATTCCCAAGTCCTTTAAAAAACAGAAGTAATGACTTTGCTTGCTTAAACTGCTGCTAGCCTCCTTCCTAGCCCAAAATGAGTGGGGTTCACTGCAGGGATATGGGGAAGACAGCTCTACTACCACTGTAGGACTTCTACGGTTCTTAAAACACAGTGTCTGGGAAGGAGAGCGGCTGGGGAGCCACCAGGACTGCTCGTCACAGCCAGATCTGAAGGCAGGAATCCCCAAATGCCACCGTCGCCTCATGCATCCCCACAGCATCCCCACAGCCAGTGCAAAGACTAAGACCAGAGTACGGCTGCAGAAGCAGGAGACTGACACCCCTAAGCAAGAGGTCTGCAGGGCACTGGCTGGCCGTCACGAACGCTCAAACCATTTTAAACCTCTGAAGGGGACCTCTTTTGGACCAAACTTACCAAGGCCACTCTACAGAATGAAAACCAGCAACAGCCTTGGGATGCCAGTGGGATCGCTTGGATGCATTTTGAAAGCAGGGGGACATTTCCCGCTGCAAGTCTGGTCGCAGGCAGCTTTCAGCCAGTGGGAACACATCAATTTCTGCAGAGCTGGAAAAGGTATTTAAAAAATAAAAACCAAAAAAATCATTATCCCATCTTTCCCGCTGAGAGGGTAGTGTGTGCAGGGCTCCTGCTGAGCAAAGCAGGGGCTCTGTCCCCTCGGCTTGTCACTCAGAGGTTCTGAAACCAGGAGGCATTCCTCCACCTGCATCCCGCCCCGGGATGGTCGGCACCGGGTACTTCCAGGGGAGCAGAGGTTACTTCACGTCTCATGGCCACATCTGAAGTCCTGATGGATCTGCTGAGAAGTGGGACCTGTTTCCATCCGCCGGTCGATGAATGTGAACTTCAGACTAGAATTAGTTGCTCACACCGACAGCCTGCCTAATCCAGTACTGCATCTCCAAGTGGACGTAGGTCTACGATGAAGCTTAATGCGTTCAAGATGAAACATCTCAGGATGACAGTGGCACCGCCCTGGCCCCTCTCTCTGAGCAAGCCTTGCTGTGTCACAGTTCAGCTTTCACCGATGATCCTGAGGTCATTGCTGAGCACAGCGGAAAACTGGGGAGATTCTCCTACCGCAACTTGGAAATTAAGTCTTTATCAACCCATTAAAATGCTTCTCACGGAGAACAAGACAACAAATCCAAGGAAATGAGTCTCTCGTGGGTAAGCTGCTGTGCCTGCAGCAGCACACAGCATCTGAGGGCCAGACCTCCGTGGAGAAAAGGGAATGACTGAACTAGGGATCAGGAACTCTTCTCCCAGGTCTATCTATGGATGTGGCAAGCCACTCCCTGAGCTCCGAGGGCTCCACAAGGAATACATTCAGATCACAAAGACTGGCACGTGATTTAACCTGAAACCTCGTTTTCAGAAGAGGATTCTGCTGCACTCCTGACGTTGGGAAGGCACAAAGCAGCGTGTGCCAATACCACCTCGGCACCTGTGACGTCCCCAATCCTGTCACCCCAGTCCTGACACGCTGCAATAGTTGCACATCTGAATTCCCGATCCATGGGTAAGGAGCTGCACAACTGCTGGGCTCCTCCAAGGCAGCGGAGTCCCCAGAGCACTGCCATGAGCTGTCCTATAGGTCCCACCCGTACCAGGGGGATGTGACCAGAGACACCTTCCCAGCAGTGAAGGCACCATCCCACCCTTCCCCAAAGAGCAGAAAGGGGAGCCCCCGTACACTTGAGTGTTGCAGCTGATGCTCCAAGCACCCACCTTACCCCAGCAGCAACAGTTTTGTTGGGCGAGAGCCCTCCCTCGCTGCAGGAGAGCCGGGAAGGGTGCTCTCCTGCACTTTGCAATCCCAACACATGCTCTTCTGGAGTCTGAATTCCCCAGTTGCATCTTCAAATTTGGCACACAAGAAGCTGTTCCAGGAGGGCACAACCGCCCAGCTCACTGTGACCAGGCGGTGCCCCAGCCAGACTAGGCGGGAGGCGCTGGTGTCACTCAGATATACAGGTCTACCACTTGACCTGCCATCTTGAACAAGATGATCAGCAGAGAGCCACTCTGGCCACCTGGGAAGAGACATGGGTCCCCATACTCAGTTTCCATCCCTCCCGAGGAGGGCACATAACCCCAGCACACCAGACTCTCAATAATCCACACCAGGTACTAGCTCCTCCTCTATCTGATGGAAGAGAAAGACACTTTGGACCCAGCTAAGCCTTAATGCCTGTTCTAATTTTGAAGTCTTTCCTTTTTTCTTCCACCTCGTTTCTACCGTATCTTTTCTTTGTCTGTGTGCCACTGATCAGCCTAATGGGAGATGATTCTAGGAAAGGCAAGCATCACCACGGGCACCCGGAAAAGGGCCTTTCCACCTTGCCTCTCTCCCCCTGTGACAATTAGTCACATCTCCCCAACCTTATAAAGTAGTTCAGATCCTCAGAGCCTTCCACAGAGACCTCAGTAACTCTTCAAAGCTTCTCGAATCACAGCAGCAAGCATCCAAAACATCCGCGTTTTACAGGTAGAGAAACCAGAGCAGAGATGTTCAAGGACTTCTCAGACGTGTCTCATGACAGAAGCCAGCACTGACATGACGACCAGCTCTTAGGTCCAAGCCCGCTTTCCTCCCACGAGCCAGTCAGCCCTTGGATGGAGGCACAGTCAAGCCCGAAGGTGACTGTGAGCACATACTATTGACAAAGAGAGCCCTGGGACTACACTTCTCTCATTGCCTAATTTTACCCTTTGGGATTGCAGGACACTTCTCTTTCCATGAAACATAACAAACCACCAAAAATTCAGGAGGTTTCTGTATACCTGCTATCTGCAAATTTTGAACAAGGCAATTTGTTGGAGGATGAATAATCCAATTAAGAATGCTTTGAGGATCTGGCCTCAATACAGAAGAAGAAAAAAGAAAATCAGCTAACAGACCCATCTCTTGTTGGTTTTTGCTCCCGAGGTCAGTTTGCACATCAAACGCACGCTCGAACCAAGGAGGGATCCCCATGCAGAAGGGCTGCAGCTCAGCTAAGTTCTGTTGTCCCCATCCTCCTGCCCTCTCTCTCCCCAGGGCCATGACCAACATTGTTCTTGGGCCAGTCGGGATTTTATCATTTCAGTGCTCCCATGAAGCTCCATTTGCCTTCTGTCGCAGAAGTGAGACTGATCAAATAAATCACTGCTGGAAGACCCAGATCCCCATGTAAACTCTAAGAGCTTGATCCTTGATACTCTGGGCAGACAGAGCCCATGACAATCCAGGCAGAGCA